CCCACCAACAACAATCCAAAAGCTCTAGTCTCTTTACATTTCTATAGTCCTGACTTTAGAGTTTTGTTGGGGGGTGGAGGGTTACCATTACCCTGTGGTTACCCTTTTTTTGGCTCTTTATATTCATTCTACTGTTACAAGTACAGAGCAGCGAAATTAACTCTCTGCATTTAACCCATCCCATGCCCAGGGAGCAGTGTGGGGTTAAAGGTCTTACTCAGAGACCAAGACTGGCAGTCTGTGGGAGTGGGGTTCGAAATCAGAAGCTCAGGATTCCAAGCACTATGCCCTAACCACCAGGCCGCCACTCCACCTAGAATTCCCTGAGTTCATAGAGAATTTTTTTTTTATAACACCGAAAACTGCTTTTCTCCCCAACTCAGAATATTCACCAGTGTCTCAGGTTTTTTTGCTTTGGTTTTTACATCCAAGAAACATTGCTGTGGTGCTAATACTACATTCAGAACGCAACCACCAAAGGCAGCAGGAGCAGCTAGTTTATGCTATGTTCACACCAAACGCAGCAGGAGCAGCAGGAGCAGCTAGTTTAAATGCAAAGTCAATGGTTGACGCCCGTCAAGGCGCAGCAAAACGTCCCGCAGCGCGTCTGAGCAGCTGAACCAGCGCGTCGTGAGCATTTGAGCATCTGACTTGCGTGCCACGCTGCAAACGCAGCTGTTGCTCGATTTGGAAAAATGTAATTTTTGCTGCTTGATGCGCCGCATCAACCAATCAGAAAAGCTGATATGGGAACTGGCAGGGAGAGACACACATCGCTGATGATACAAATCACTATGATCACTCCACTAAAACAGTTTATTACCGGCTAAATTAACTTAAAATGCCAAAATCTGCCGGCAAAACATGTTCGCTTTTATTATCCTGGTGCCTGCCGTTTGGATTACGTACATGTAAACCACCTTCCAGCTGCCGCGGCAAACCGCCAAGAGTCGACCGGGCCAGAGGGTGCTGTCGTAGGGGATTCCTACTGACAGAGCATCGCCGGTATGTGGGGGTCTGAGAGGCTCTGACAGAGAATGAATATTTGAAGGCAGGATGGTAATCTGGATGAACTGACTGCACAGATTAAGTTTTCAGGTGGATTTTCTCACTTAAAAACATATTAAAACTATTTTATTCCCACTGATGACAGCATATATAGCTGCCAGGCAAAGAAAGGATAGGGTAGCTCTGCCCAACGCGCATCAGACCCACTTTTGACTGCGCAGCTGGAGCAGCAAAGATGCTTAAGCCGCGCATCAGAAGTAAACTTGTACAAGCATCAAACATCAAGCAGCACATGCATTTTTGATGCTCTTGCTGCTTTTGGTGTAAGCGTAGCATAACATGCAAAGTCAATGGTTGACGTGCATCAAGGAGCAGCCAAAGGTCCCGCAGCGCGTTTTGAGCAGCAGGTGCAGCACGTCTGAGCAGCTGACGCACGGGATGCGCTGCAAACGCAGCTGCTGGAGTTGGAAAAATTTAACTTTTGCTGCTCAACGAGCCACATCAACCAATCAGAGAAGCTGATCTGGGAGCTGGAAGGGAGACAGACACATCGCTGATGATACAGATCATTCTGATCACTCCTCTGAAACAGTTTATTAAAGCCTAAATTAACTTAAAATGTCGAAACATGCTACGTTCACAACAAAACCTGCTGCTTTTAGTGTGAACGTAGCATTAGCTAATGTTAGTAGTTTTACCTCCTGCTTTTATTCAAGGTATATGTGGTTTTTGGGGATCTACTTTTTGAAAGACACTCCCAGAGACTACCATCAACAAAGTTACTTTATATCTTGCTCAATAACATTGATGCCACAATAGAAGTAGCAGCTATCATGGTGGCTTAAACGTTTGTCACTAATTGCATTGCAGAACCCATAATATAGCATGATGGCATCTATCCTTTTAATAATAGTAATAAAGCTAAGCTTGGGAGACAACAATGCTCCCTTGATGTGGTCTGTTTAGAAATTGGAGTAATTTTAAAGTATTGGAGTACCCTCGCATTCTACACTGGTGTTTTAATTCAACAGTTGAGATCTTTGTACCTTAAATACAGGGTAGCTATTCAGTCTACGTTACACTTCGTGATATGCTGGCTACGCCATTTAATCTTTCCCACATGAAGGGTCAGAGCCCACTCGATTCGGACTTTGTGTGGACAGGGACTCAAAAGGCAAAATTCTTATGACTGCAGCCATTGTGTCTCGCTATACCGCTCCGTGGAAAAGTGCTTCTCAGCAGGAACAAGTATTTATGCACCAGACACCATGCCTCCCTCCTCTTTCGCCTCTTTTCTCCCCCTACACACTGAGAGATGGGATAAGAAACGGCACTAGGCACCCATCTAGTCTTTTGTTTCTGCATAGCTAAAGAGCAAACCCATGATGCCTTGGCAGTATGGAAATGAATGCATTGTCCATGAGAAATGTAGGAATAGGTATGCTTTGACTTTGAAGGCTGGAATGTGGGGACTCAACTGTTGGTGTCAGACGTTAGTTTTTGCCAAAACTAAGGTCTAAGCTATCAGTAAGTCACAAATGCCATTCCTAATGGTGGTGAGATGCAAGTTATTTAGGTCTATCCTGGAGCCATGGTGAGGTTTGTCCTCTAACCGGTGGAGTATTGGTTTGAGCTCCCGCTATTAGCTTTCTTGGCTGCTGTACTGTAGGTGATCAGAGCTCATAGTTCTGCCCTGATGTATTGCAGCCTCGCCTCTGTCAGTCTAGGGCATGCATGGCTATAATGCATCTTAACACTATCAGGATGTGAATGTTTGCAAGTATGACTGAATACAGTGTAAAGTGCCTTATGGTCATCAAACTTGATAAAGCGTTATATTAGCACAGACCATTTAGCATTTAGAGTGGGCAGTTTGTGGTTTTGTCATCTAAGCTGTTCTCCAAACAGACGCATTGGTAGAGGTTTACAGTACCAAACATGCAACCAGTGTGTTTGCTAATCATTCATAAGCTCTTTAAAAGCTTGATTGTGATGACACTCAGCTATAGATATAGCAATAGAAGATGGCTGTACTTCCTGTATGACTCATCTGCGGTCAATAGCTCTTTAGTAATCGCAGATTTCCACTGTAGAGGATATCTGCTGCTACAGCATATTGTTAAACACTGAAAGACACCTGTACAAAGTGTCCTGTCATTCTACAACACATCCTTTATGTTGAGTAGATCAGACACTTTTTCAAATGATACCATCATATTCCCTCTGTTACCTGTCCTTTAAAACCCATCAGTGGTCTGGACGTTTAGAGGTTCAGTCAAGGATAAGACCCCCCAGGTTATGAACTGATTTGAATAACTTTTTGTTTTTTCATCCCAATATGAAATGTTCATATTGTTTAGATTTGTTCAAACAATTCTTGGTTTAAGCAAATGCATTTCCTTTAGTTGAAGTTGCTTTGAGGACTATTATCAATCAAATTTAATCATTATGACAAGCCAAGTTTGTTAACATATTCATTTTATAATATTATATCATCATTTAAGTATTTACTCTTTATAGCAAAGTTTTCATATCCCGGAAAATTATGAGTTAGAGAATGCTTTAAATTCATAGTATTGTTTTGATAGATATCTAAAAAATGTTGCCTAAACAACATAAATCCCAACATTTTTTTTCTTTGTCTAATAACTTTTAAATACAGAAAATAGGTCTGAAAATACTTACACCAATCTAAGATAAACTCTTTGTTTACCTTCCACCTTGTCATCTGATAGTGTTTTGTTTTTTAATCTCTCTCTCTTTATGAGTTGAATTTATTCACGGTTAAAGGGCAAGGCAAGTTTATATATATATATATATATATATATATATATATATATATATATATATATATATATATATATATATATATATATATATATATATATATACCCCGGTATATAAACAACATTTCAGTTGAAGGACAATTCAAACTGCTGTTTTGTACATAAAATAGATCATAGGAAAACACAGAAAGATGTACATTGCACTGGAATTGAGAAAAAAAAAAAAGAGTTATTCTGGAGAATATATATATATATATATATATATATATATATATATATATATATATATATATATACACCCCGGTATATAAACAACATTTCAGTTGAAGGACAATTCAAACTGCTGTTTTGTACATAAAATAGATCATAGGAAAACACAGAAAGATGTACATTGCACTGGAATTGAGAAAAAAAAAAAAAGAGTTATTCTGGAGAATAGAAATATATATATATATATATATATATATATATATATATATATATATATATATATATATATATATATATATATGTATATATATTGAAATGAAATGTTTAAATGATTAACTAAATGATAAATAAAAAATGTAGATATTGGAGTTGCATCGTAAGCATAAACTAATGTTTAGATAGGACAGTCAAAGGCTACTACAAACAAACAAAGTATTTTAAAGTTGCTTATTTTTAAAACAAGTTAGGGTTTCAGCATTTTTATAGTTTTCTGAGTTTTTTGTAGATTATCAAAGCATAAGAACTAAAAGCTGCTTCTATATGTTTGGTTCTGGTTCTAGGTAGTCAGAGTACTTTACCATACTTATTAAATTCCTGTGTTTGCTTAATACTGACTTGTGCACAGATACCATTATCAGTTAATATAACATACCTGATACACTGCTCACAGGTTGATGTAATTTAAGTTCAGGTGTGATTAGGAAACAGCGAGGCAGTATGTTGCTGTGTGAAATAATTTTCTTTCATGTAAAAATGTGTAATGACCACATTCCACTTCATTTTTTATTATTGGCTCAATAATATAAAACGGGATATGTTTTGTACACTTGGGAAAAGGTGACATGAACGTTTTCTCTACGGATTATCTGTCTGCACAGCTTTAAAATATAAAGTGTAAAAGTGCTTCAAATATAAGTCTGCCAGAATTGTAAAAACTTTTGATAATATGATTTCTTTTTAATTTTAATAATTTTTTGTCTTGTTTTTTCATTGCAGGCTCAGAAACTACATTCAAATGCGACTGTTGACGTCTGCTCGGTGAGTTTATTGCCTTTAAATTGTCACTTTTTTATCAGAATGCTAAATAAAATTTCAAATCAACTTGAATCCTTTTTAGAGATGTGTTTTTTATTGTTTCATTTTATGAATAACTTGTGTTAAACAATTCTAATTGCCTATTTTGCAATTAGTATTTAATGAAGAGTCATAGAGTATGTTGATTCACTACAGTGACTAATTATGATTATTCAAAATAAATCTAATGCTTGAAAAGGACTTATATACTTTTCTATTTCTATTTCTACACCTAATTTCTTATTTAAAGTTTGAAATATTTTTGTCGAAAAGTTAAAAAACAAACAATCACAACACTTAGAAACACTGAACTCGTGAAATCTCTGACAGTTTCAGTCTTTTCTTCCTGAAAACTATTTTCCTTGAGACCACCAAGCAATCGGCGGAGCGATCAAATCATCACAGGGTTTAATCCGACCTCCATGCTGGAAGTGTCTGACCTTCCTCTGACGGTGATTGCCACAGCAATCTTTCCTGCCTCCTCTGTAAACTCTTGGTCTTTGTAGTTCCTTTGAGGCTGAAATGGGATCGTTGCTTATCTGTTGGCTTTTAAAGTTCACTGTAAATGTCATTCTGCAATAATAAGGCACTGTTATGCACTAGACTGACATTTAGTAGAGGCAGAACCGGGTCGCTTGGAGATGACCCGGCCGTTGGCTCGAAGCATTACAGGCAGTGGAGCAGAACACACACATGCTTTTACATGCTGGGTCATGCAAATTTAGATACCTTCATATGTGAGATTTTTTTTGTTGTTTCATATAGTGAAATAAGTACAAAAACAGCAGTTTGCTATATTTCATCCACACTGGCATATTCAGTAGATGATGTTTATGTAAAGTTTAACTCAAATCTGTCAAGTGGGGGTGAAGGTTTGAAGGAGGACCCAAATGCAGACACAAAGGCTATAGTGGTTTCTTGAAGATTTAATAACAACAAGGGTAACAGAAGCAAAAATCGAAAAACATGACTCCACAAAAATCCCAAAATATTGAAAATCCCAGGAATACGAAAAACAACAGGGCAAAGAAATGACAACAAACCAGCCAAGAGTGACTGAACAGGAGGAGAGTATAAGGGAGAGAAACAAAGACCAGGCTAATTAGCAGATTGGGGGTATGTTTGAACAGAGGAGTCTAGAAGGGAGCTAGAGAAAAGGAGACTGACACAGGAGGGCAGCAGAGGGCAAACAAGAAATACCTAAGAACACAAATATAATCAAAAATCAGTAGAACACAAAAATGTAAATAAGAACAATAAAAAACTCAGAGATAAAACTTGAGCAGAACAAAAAACCATGACAAAATCTGGGTAATGTGATGGGGGTGTTGCAAAAAAGCTGCTAAAATTCCTCATTCCAGTACATGTTTTACTGAGGAAAAAAGGTATTAAAATATTAGGGATGGAACGGTTTATGAAAACCGTCAGAATCGTTCGGTTCGACTGTCTCGGTTCGGTTCGCGTGTGTTTCGTTCGGTTCATGTCCTGCTCCTTTTTCTCATAGGCGAAGTGTTTACACTCCAGAGCAGAAGGTGGCGGTACTGCGACCAAAGCCAACCGCCAGTAGTAAACAAGAAAAAGAAGAAGCGAAGCAGCTTAGCCGGGTGTAGCAGGAAAAATCAGTTGTTGTAGAGAATTGTGTCGGAATGGCGAGTGGGAAACAAAAGCAGTTGGAAGACGCGCCAGCAGCACTTTATAGGTCTGCTGTATGGGACCACTTTGCATTTAGAGTGACCTACGATGACGGCGGAAAGAAAGTTGGGGATAAAAGTGCAACAGTGTGCAAGCATTGTGCAACACGTTTTGTTTATGCTAACAGCAACATGACCAACATGTCATGCTAACCCCGAAATCCCACATACTCCATCAGCGCTCTGCTCCGCCCCGCTGCGCTCCAGACCGGCTGCTCAAAGCAAAGCCTACAGCCTCCACTGTGGCTTCGTCTGCTCCCCTCTGAGTCCCTTGGAGATGGTAGAGAGCATGCGCCAGATGATTCAATTCAAAGCAGCAAAACATACTGAAATGATCCATGGTCTCCGCGGATCTTTAAAAATAATTACAATTCATACATTTTTTTTTTTTTTTTTCATTAATTTCATAAATTTTCATTTTTTCATAAATTGTTATAATTTTTATTAATTTTTTTATTTTTCGGTGTAACGATAAACATATACCGAACCAAACCGAAAACCGTGACCACGAAACCGTGAACCGAACCGTGGATTTTGTGAACCGTTCCACCCCTATAAAATAGACAATCTACCAGATAACATGTTAATGAGCATAAATAACAATACCTGGAATGTCTTCAGGCTATTTCATGTTAACATTAATTTTAAGGAGCAATAAACAGAAGCATTGAGCTTACCTAAAAAGTTGCCTCTTAGAAGAATAAAAAACAAGCATGACTACAACCCAGAGGTTGTAGTCATGTCTAATCTTAACTAAGATCTGCAGTTTTCTGAACGTATGTTGGCTGAAAAAAAGGCAGGTAATGAGCAAATTGTTCCTGGGTTATTAGAGGAAATCCTATCAGAGGATTTTATTTTATTTATTAAGCACAAGAAACATTTACTTAAAAGTCTATCTAAAATGAAAAAGAATATAAGAAAGGAAAACAAAGAAAAAAATACAATAAGAACAACAAACATGTGTAAAGGAGGGGCAGAAGCCATGAGGTGGGGGGAGGGGGACCACATGTTAGCCAAAGGACTGATGCACTCATTAAAGATGAGCGGGCTAATTTCGGGTGGAATAATTCCAGGCTGGCAGCATGATACATTGAAATACGCTGAAGAAAATCCTGTATTTCATGCTGAGGAATTGCTAAAAGCATTCAGAAAATTCAGTAACATCCTGGATTTACTGGAGATCTATCTGCCTTTGCTGCCAGGACAAACATGGATGAAGTTGATCCCTTAGGTGGCCCCTTCCCTGCTGGCAGGTATGCAGTATTGGGGAAGGCGTACCACTCCACTCCTGAATTGTGTCACAATGCTTGACCATTGAAGTGGTACAGGACCAGTGGTACTAATCACCTTTCTATGTTTTCCTGATCAAGAAATAGAAACATTTGTCAGAGAAGATCACTTTTCTTACAGTCAATCCTTCTTCCAACATGTTTCCAGTCTTCCTTTGATACATAGAGTTAAAAACCAATCGGCTGGACTTTGTTTTTCAAGTTTGAAGACCAGGAAGCTTTCTTAATTCAAAATGTCTGGATTAGGGTTGAGTTCCAGGCTTTTACAGAGTAGGCCAACAAAGCCTTGTAATGAAAAACATTCAGATTATAGCTGGAATACCAGCTCCACCACCTTAATAATGGGCGTCATTGAGGTCGTTATTGGCCTGCAATACCCGCTACTGGACATTCCTCTGAAAAGGCAGTCGTTAAAGGCCATTGTTAGCCTGGCTGACCGGGGACCATGACTAATGGATGACTGAGAATCTCCACCAGCATATTTCCCTCGATACATTATCTTAAGCAGAAGAGGCTCTTTGTTTTCCTTCCCCTCGTTATGCGTAGAGATGCCCTCACACCCACCTGCTGCCCCTCCACAGAAACCTCTGCATTGCCAGCAGCACCTTTCTTATAAGGAGATCCCTTGGTGATTGCAGAAGCTTCTTGAACGTATTGAAGTCTTCTTCAATGCAAGCTCCACCTTAGTGGAGTACTTAATCAGATAAAGTGTTTTTTGAAGTACAGTGTTCTTAAAATCCAGTTTCTATAAATAAGAGAATTTTGATGCGTATCTAGTAACAATAGAGTTAGATGATTTCATCCACATCTGCTGCTATGTTATAGTAATCAGTCTGCTAATTAAAGTCAGCTTGCTTTTTTATGACCTAAGAATAACCCAGGAAAAGTTAGATTTGGATGTGAAGCAAACTTTTAATTCAGTTAATAACATCAAGTTAAACCATGATAAATAAATCAGATTGGGGGAATTTAAATCAGTACCTTGTTACCTACTGAAAATATTCATGTAATATGGTTGTAATGATGATTTATGAAATTAAAAAATATTTGCTTTGTAGATCAAACTATTTAAATTATAGGCACTAAAGCGAGAGCCCCTGATGCTTCTGGGCATAAGTGCTAACAGTGGTTCTTCTTTTAGCCATCTCACTGTTATTCAACTGGGCCATTAAGTTTTTACTACCTGCCATACATGTTTTGCTGTCTGAGAGGGAAACTGTCACAAATACAAATGGATTAGGCTTTTCAACAACATGGCTGACAGTTAGAAATCTGAAACAAAAGAACATTTTTAACCCAAAGACAAAGGGTCACTCTGGCATTGAAACAAAGAATAACATAATTAAACTGAATGAAGGACATAAAAGAAAACATTTTAATGAATGATGCTGCAAAAAAGATGCTGGTGAAGATTCTCAGTCATCCATATCATAGTCATTCTAAAAAAAAGAAAATTAAAAACAATCTCATAGACTTTGTTTCCAAGTTTGAAGATGTTTCTCTTCCCATCCAGGAAGCTTTTTCAATTCAATGTCAGGAATAGCATGGAGTTCCAGCTTTTATACAGTGCAACTGGGCTTTTGTCAAATCAGCAAGGAAATCCAGAAAACACGCAGCAGAACATAACGGTGAGAACATTCAATGCAAAACCATCTCCATCACATATGTTGCTGGTGTCTCTGAAAAACTCAAGAGGATTTTCTCCAAACACAAAATCCCAGAACATTTTAAACCAATCAAGACCCTTAAACAGAGACTAGTGCATCCTAAAGACTAAACCCCCCAGACCAAATATGAGCGGAGTGGTGTCTGCAGTTCAATGCAGTGATGTATACTCTGGTCTTTATATTGGAGAAACCAAACAACCTCTCCACAGACGCATGGCCCAACACAGAAGAGCGCCCTCTTCAGGACAAGACTCTACATTTACGCCCTATAGACAAAGGACTTTCTTTGGAGAACCAGAATGTTCACATTTTTGACAAAGCAGACAGGTGGTTTGAGAGGGGCGTGAAGGAAGCCATCTATGTTAAGAAAGAAAAACCAACCTTAAACAGAGGAGGTGGACTCAGCTTTCAGCTTTTAAAAACCTACAATGCATATATAGAGTTGATTCCTTCCCGCTATAATTGCAACTCCAACCCCTGTACAGGAGAGAAGAGGACCTCACCTTTTCAGCCAGGCCAACAATTCCCTCTAATGACCCCCTTTCAGAGACATAGACAGGTATGGAGCATTACAGGCTAAGAACGAAGTCAAATGACCCCCATTGCAAAGGGGTGGACCCGTTCATCTATTTCTATTTGCATGTTTTCTATACAAAAACGAGGCTTTTTTGGGCTGCTGGATAAAACCTGGAACTCAACGCTATTTCTGACATTTTGAATTGAAAAAGCTTCCTGGATGGAAGACAAACGTCTTTAAACCTGGAAACAATGTCAAGTGGATTGTTTTTAAAATTCTTTTTCTGGAATGCACAAAGGATGATGAACACTAAAACGCTGATACTTAATTATGCGGACAGAAATATATAATATAACAAAAATACTTTGTTTAGTGAAGAATGTGTCCAAATTTTATGTAGCTTTGAACCAGTTTTCAATGAAAATAGTTGCATTCATAGTGGCCTTTGCTGGTTTAATACCGCAGTGTGAACATGCAGACCAGGTGTACTGCTTAGCTTTACAGTTTTTACCGCATTTGGCTTTACTCACTTATAAATCTTGACTTACTCACTTATGAGAGTAAATGCATTTACTGACGGCAGGTTCTGCACAAAGTTTCTCACTGATAAAAGTTTTACTTTCCTCTGTAACATGCTACCTCTCTATGAGGGATTACTGTGAGGTTAACAGCTCTATGTGTCCACTGTCCACTGTTGCTTCCCTCTTGTTCAAGAGAAGGGATTGCTGCAGGGTGATTGGCTCTTAATTCTTCACTAATTGCGCCACTAATCTGTAATTGACTGCTCTGTCTTACCCTGGACAGGTTGTCAGTCATCATAAGAGCACAAAGGACAAAGAATTGACACATTCTTAAGGACAATTTAAGACCAATTAAGCAGAAAGTCATGTTGTTTTTTTAAGTGAGAGTACTGAAACCCAGGAGTGTTTTTCTGTTACAGGGCTAATCCCTGTAACCCCAGTGCAGACAGAATACCACAGTTTCTTCTGAGATGATAGTCCAACATCTGCAGCTGAGCTGAGAGCTGCCCTTCACTGAAGACTGTTTAAAAATGAACGTTTTCTATTTGTTCCACTGCATTTCTAAGACACATCAGAAATTTGGAAGGATCTATAATATAATCCTAAATAGCAGCAGGCCTCTGGTTTGTCAGTAGCATATCTTCAAGGGGTCCATAATAGAAAAACATGTTAGTTTAAATTGATTTTCATTTCCCCATTATCCTAAAAAAAAAATCTAATTTTTGATATATGAACCTTTAGAATAACTCCAACATTCTATATTCTTTGTTATATTTCTCATCCATGGAGGTCGCCAGTTTTCCTCCTGTATAATGCATGCTGGGTTGACGCAGTTAGATCCTACTGTGCTGAAACCAGCAGAGTAAACAGAGAAAGGCCTAATATTATCACAGTTGTTTTTAGGCCTGACTGATGTAAATGTACCATATTGCATCGTCACCTTGAATTTTTGATGAGCCATTGTACCTGAGATATCTGTTGAAACAAACTAATCAACTTGTAATCTACTGTTCACTATGTTAAGCTGACATAAATAGGCGGTTTAAATTGACATTGAAGCATCTTTCAGTCGTTTTAACGTATCATTTTACTTTCCCCTCGCCAAATTGATTGTCTCAAAAATACAACATTTATTTAAAATAACAAATGTGAAATAAATTAGCTTCCAGATATAGAGTAGGATGCCATTTCTGGAACTGATCAGGCACACACAGGTGAGATAACTAAAGGTGACCAGGTTTCTGAAATCCAATCTGGGGACATTTCCAGCTCATAGATAAAACAAAATATATAATCTAAATTAAAATAGAAAATGGGAACAGAGATGCTTTCATCCATTTTTTACATATTTATTAATATTTAAACAACAAAAATCAAGAGTAAAATCCAGGATTGTGCCCCTCCTATGATTAATGAAATTAATAAATGAATCAATAGTTTTTATTGGTGCCATCTGCTTATTCAGTCTTCTCTTTCTCTTTCCCTCTCCATCTTCTTTTCTTTCTAGCTTTGACCTGCTCTCTTTTTTTTACTTTTTTCTTCCTTCTCTTAAACTCTTCTCTCCATCAGTCTTCATATTTTCCTCCACTCTCATTCAATCTTCTTTCTATTAGTCTTCTAATCTTGTCTCCTCTTCTATCAATCTAACACTGAAACAGGGACATAATACAATCAGAATCCCTTCCAAACAAATATAATCTGATCATACACATTATAATCATTATGATAATGGTGATTATGATTATTATTGATTATTGATTTTCTTATCTCACAGATTTTGCTATATCTGATCAAATACTGAAAAGGCTAATCATCACAATATTTGAACATTAAACAGGTGGTTATCTCTTCCTCCATCATTCTCAGATCATGCAGATCTTGTCTCATTCAGTTTTCCTTTTACTGCCTCTTATTCTTTATAATGAGGAACTTTCCTAGATTCAAAGTTAGTGGTAGAAAAGTGTATCTAAGCCTGAAAGTCTATGTTCATAGATCATACCCATAAAACAGCAAAACAACTTATAACTCTACTTAAAATCACTATCTGATGATATAAAGCTCAACAATCAGTTCTAAAATTATCTTTAGATGAAACCTTGTTGCTCCCTGGTGAGCCATTGAACCAGATTAGCGCATTAAAAGGAATTTTCAATCATTCTGTTCATTTTGATTTTATCTGAGTCTATTTGCTCCTGCCAGCTGCAGCCAACGGTCTGTCCTACTTTTTTAATGATTAGCTTGTTTATGTTACATTTCTGGTCCTCATCAAACACATCAGAGGCTCTTTTTTTATCAACCTAGGGCACGAACCTAACATTAATCACAATGATCAGCCCAATTCAAATCTAATGAAGCGATTAACACACTCACCGTAACACAGGGCAGCTGAGATAAGGAACTTCCTTGTCCTTTTTAAAAGTGCTGCACTCTGCTCCTCATCTATACGTTAACAGCTGCCAATCAGCTAGCTAACAGCTGTTTCTGTGCGCAGCATGCTTGCGCGCTTTCTTCCGTAATAACAGTCAACACACAACATTTCCCCCCTCATTAATGAAACGGTAAAATCAGGGACATATCCTGGGAAAGCTTTAGCCGGGGACAGGTGGTCCAAAACCTGGACTGTCCCCTGAAATCATGCAGGATAAACAACATAGTGACGTCCCTGTGGCAATCATTTTTACAATATATTTTTTTTAACCATATTGTCACATTTACATTGAAAATAAATATTTATCAAATACAACCTACAGGTTATGGATCCCTTGTAGGAATTTAATATGAACCCTAATGCTGAAAGTAATACCTGTTTTTGTCATCTTGACTCAGTCAGAAACGGTGAACATTTGTCTGTCTTCTCAGTCTGATCCCCAGGCTCCAAAGGTAGACGGTCCAAGTGCATCCAACGCCATCCTGAGAGACTCAGCCGTCTGCAGACAGTCTGTTGGTGTCACCTCCCTGCTGCCACTGCTGCTCTACTTTGGAGCACGAGGCTACTTGTAGCCCTGCTGCTTGAAAGCTATAAATTACGGACTGAGAAACTCATATTTGTATAGAAAAGAAAGCAAAACAAGAAATTATATCTTTTTTTTTAAGTTACTTCTGTTCTTTTATTGAACCTGGACCTGATGATTTTCTTTCCATCTGTTGTTTTTTCTTTGTTTATTTGTGTTGCAGCTTAATGCTAAAACTGTGATGTATTAGGCATTTAACTCATTTGGTTTAGTCAGAAATAGTGGATATGAAGCCACTATGAATGCTGATAAAATACTCTGAGGACTACGTTCCACTAATGGACGAGCGAGAACTCTTGGAACACAGTGTATATTAACATCAGTTCTCAGAGTTGTCTGTTCATTTTCACCCAAGTCTGTTTGTGTATTGAGGCTATCGGTGGGATCATTTGCTTAAGAGTCACAGTAAAGTTCAGTAAAAGCTACAACTTATCACTCGGGCAGCCTTTTTTTGGTGTTGTTAAGTCTCCTCTGTGATTTGTGTATGTTTTGATAATGATGTGATCTGGTATTTTACATTTTTATGAGCTCAATGAAGGTTCAAATTCACACTACCTGCTTAGAAAACATCTGAAATGTTTCAGCATCCGTGCCCAAAATGTCTTCACTGTAGCTCATACTGAACACTAATGTCAGCTGAGATAAGCACACATGGCAAAGTCCCACAAACAAGTAGTGCACACGTTGCACATGCAGACAATAAAAGCAGAATACAGACACATAGAAAGGTTAAATAGCAGGCGAGCTGCATCTTTTCTGGACTCCAGTCCTTATAATTCTCCGTTCTTTCGTTCCACAGAGGAAGGTGACAGCAAAGCTCCTGAGCAATCAACTCAAGGTTGGATCTGTTGTACCTCCGAGCCTGCCAGGACAAGAGCTGCCAAATAAATAGGCTTATACTTGTCAACTGTGTCCTACGACTCTTGCTTTAATCCCCCACCACCCTGAAATTCTATGCTTCCTTAGACTCGGAGCTTTTAATTGACTCTTTCATAAAACCCCCTCCAACCCAGACCGTGTGCAAACTGGTAAACATGACATGCACTGATTTCTGACAATATACAGTTTACTTAGGCGGTGGTTAAATTTGTCTGCTGCGATTAGTGGCTAAAATATGCTTTCTTTACAGAAGCTTTGCAAAACAAATCAAACTATTTATTGTTAATTCAATCCAGGTTATTTCTATGGCGCCAGTTCAGAACATGTGATCAATTTAATCGAATCATCCAGACAGATCGGTTAGAAGTCTTCTACTCGGTTTTTTGTTAATTAACTTGCAGGATTCCCTCCTGGCAGTGAAAGTAGACGTTCAATTGCATTATTTCGTTGGCTCTAAAGCAATTCTTTTTGTGAAGCATGCATGCAGCGAAGGTGAAGAGGAAAAACTCAATTTTAATGAGAAGAAACTGGTGCAACGGTAATCATGAGTGTATTTATTGGTTAAAAAGTAGTGCATAATGAAGCAATCAACAGAATGTGGTGGAGCAATGACTTTTTTTTTCAAATGTCAGTTTGATTGGTTGGGAAGCCTCTATGCAGAGTCATTATTCAGACTTTGACTAGGTCATTCTAAAACATTCATCTGAAACTTTCTATTGTCACTCTTAGACTCTTGTCCAGACCAATCTGGATGTGGTTATGTACTTTGGTACTGACTAAAACTTGGAAACTGGCAAAAACATCCTCAGCTACATTTAGCATACATTTTACGATGTACGGATAATAACCTTTTCAACCTATCTGGGAATTTACAGCCGGCCCACACAAACACCTCTTTCTGCGCTCATTCTTTGCATTCTGCTTCTTTATTACTTCTGCTAACTTCTTTACATCAGTGGTGACATCACTCTGCCACCTAGTGGTGTGGTATAAGTATTACACCTATTACAATTTCTTCTTTAGTCTCAAGCTTTAGTGCGGGTACCCTATTTAGCGGTATGTAGACATAGCTGTATGTTTTGGTTTATTCTACTAACAGTAGAACCTCCGCTTTTGACTAAGTACCAAAAAAAAAAAACCTCTTACGGCATGATGCTGCCTCCACCATAAATCACAGTTTGGAAAATGTAATCAGACAAAAGCTATACAAGAATTGTTGGAGATTAGATTTTTTTTCTATCCAGTCAATCTCCTAAAAAAAAATCCAGTTCAATTTTATGCATAATAGTTTCCAAGCATTTTTGCAATTTGTTTACCTCCTAAATGTACCCCTCTGTGCTGTAGCAACTGGTGGGAACTGACCCATGTTAGTTCTGCATGTTTTCAAGCTCAACTTTGAGGCAACAAGTACGAGATGCCAGAATATCTTTTAGGAAACAAAGCTAGAGAATGTGCCGTTGCAGTAACTGGTTGATTAATTTAGCTAATCTGTTGAAAATGTACACATTAAATCAGTAGAAAGGCCTTAAATAATGTGTGGATTTGACTTGACTGTTATAAGCACCCAACCAATCAATCGATCTACCTGCATAATTCATCAAACAGCCTCTAAAACCAGAACACCTGTCCATCGCGGCTCATTACTTGTTTCCACTACATAAACCCTCCAGGATATTTAAACAAAATTAAGTCTTTCTAAAAGGAGCCATGTCATCATAATCAAAACTTTAAATCCACTTTTTTTTTGTAGTTCAACAGAACAGCTGATCTCTGATTCCCCCAGAGGAAATCCAACCTCTTTCCCTTCAGACTGTTTCCTCCCAGCTTGTGATCAGGACGCCTCGGCATGTTGAGCTTCCCTCTTCAACCGTTCCAAATCTGACGGGAGCACTTAAGACTCGCTGCTGCGGTGTAGCTTCTCAAAACACAGTTAATGTATAGTAGAGCCTCAATGTTATTTATCCAGCATAAACATGGTATATGCACTGTATGTACTTGGCTGAAACCTTTGAACCAGACAAGTTAATGGCTAATTATATTCTATTTCAGAGCATTGTGATCTATTCAGACTTTCAGTTCAGTTTAGGGTAAAACGAATAAGAAAATATTGTTTTTTATGAAAACCTTAATGTATATTTCTCTCTTTATGTATATGATTATGGAATATTATTGCATCTGAGACAGAGGATGAGCCTCTCCTTGTAGTTAAAGTGTATTGTTTGTACGATGAATCCCATTTTATGAAGTGGCTGAAATAAGTTGGCTAAGATTGACACTTATTTTTCTATCTTTTATCTACTGATTTATTTTTTATTTTTAATGAGCTGAAGTGAATGAAACGGATTGTTATTACTGTTTTGAGCGGATATTCTAATTCTTTTAAGAATAATAAGAAAGGGAATAATTAACAGCAAGGAGGAATCTGAAGTGAACTCTTATAAGTTGATTGAGAGACGTTTGGAATGAAGCTGGTTTACATTAACCTTCTTGATCAGAACCGATTCTGAGGTTTCTGTCGTCTTTTTGATTTAAATCAGTTGTTAAATCCCAGATTACAGCCTTTTAGAATGATTTTTTTTTAAAGATTTGACTAAGCTCCAGAGAGCTGCTATTAGCTGAGGATAGTTAACAGTTTGCCATATATCATCAACCCATCTGTTGTCTGAAATGACCGGAAGTTGTTTCTCTCAAGACGCTGACTCCCTTGACTGTCTGACATCATTAACTTCCTAGCTTGTGAAAATGTAAAATTTATTGTACAAAACTTCTAATTAAAAACTGTTACTTCACTCAAATCATGTGTGACTTTTTGTTTTTCGCTGAAGACGGATAAAAGACACCTGAGAGTGAAATGTTAGAGTTTAATATGATTAATGTTTAATATAATTAATATCCTGATTCCAACCCAACCATTAGAGAGAAGCAGATTTCCTCTTGTTGGCGAAATCTTAATGAAACATTATTCTACACCACTCTTCTGTTGTATGGGGAGATAATTTAAACACAAAACATCTCAAAGCATCACCAATGTTTTGCAGCGTTATACAATGTTTTATAATTTTCCCAAATTACATGATCACTCTGTCTAAACATCTCACTGTTCCAGACAGACCCTTCCACTGGAACTCAAAATGCCCTGGATCCAAGTGATGATTGATTTGTTTTATAATTGCTTAACCCCCACACACCTGGATGGCTGAGCTGCTCTTAGAGTAACATACACTAAAAAACTCCTGGAAAAACCAAGTCCTATTTTTAAAAACTCAACAAAAAAAAAAAACAGATGCTAAATACGTGGGTGATCTCAATGATCTTGATTCTTTAAGTTTTCACTCTTCTGCATTTTCCTGTTGCATGTTTAAAAAACCCTAAGCAAGTATGGAGTCAATTTGATTACAGTTTGTTGCAGGAAAAAAACAACTGTGCATTTTTTTATTTGTTGCAATTATACAGCACATCCTTTGTTCCACATACACAGCCAAGATAACATGTGTTTTAAGAACTAAGAACCTTTTGCAGTCTGTTTCCTTTTTAGCTGGTTCTTAATGAGGATTTTTATAATTGACGGTTATAAATGTTGCCACAAATATATAATAGGCTTACACCTTTATGTATTTCAGAATTAAATAGAAAAAAATCCATTTGGATATCAGTTAAAGGCATCTATATCTACATACATTCAGAGGTTTCTCTTCTCTTGGTGTCCAATACAAACCTTTGCTTTAAACATTTTGACACTGATGTTGCTTTTGCGCATCCAGACCAATAGAAAAGCATCTTAGTTCCTCAATTCAGAGTAATTCCAGGAATTCCTGATAAGTAAATAAAGTATAATTTGAAAAAAGCAAGTTTAAAATAACCTCACTTGTTGAAAATAAGTCCGAAAAAAGAAAATGTGGAAACATAGACATTGGGAAATTAAACAAAAAAATTAAGCCAAATTGAATATATGCTAAAATACATGAACCTCTTAACATCCAACTATTTTGGGAGATTCTCGCCTATTTTGCATACCCAGATGGAAAAGCGAAAAACTTAGAAACTGTACGCCCAAATTACATGTGCAGCACATTATTTGAAAGCTCTCTGCTCTCTGAAAGCTTTCTGAATGAATATATATAAATCTATATAAATTACAATTGGGTGATTAAAACGCAGACCAAGCTGCATCAGTCTTTTTTCAACAGCAATAATAAAGACATTCTTCAGAAAAGGCAGGTCTCATCATATCATATTTGATCTACATCATGTCAACCACAGATGCCAAAAGATTTCAGACCTCTAGCTACAACAGTTCCAGAGCTGAGGGGTTTTGAACCTTTGGCGTCTCCAAAAATCTCCAATCGTGTCAAATGCTTTTACTG